TCAGGGCACCTTCTGTCCCCCGTTTTCTTTTCTGTTTTGGTGGCTTGTTTGGGCTAATTTGTTCAGCTACCTACTTTGTGTCGTGAGGTAGTAGTTTCTTGTCTTTTGTCCTTCCAAAGTTTTGATTGAATAAAGAGTAGAAGACAGCTAATTATCAGGACTTCCTAATTTGTGTAAGCATTTGTTGTAGTTTTATATTATCGGACGAAGGTCTTGTGTATCTATTTGTTTTGGTCTAAAGAGATGGGGGGAGAGTAGAAGACAACTAAGGTGTTTGTTTGCGTTGTTGTTCATTAAGAGACAAATTTTAATGAAGGTTCGGAGTTTACTGAACCAACTTGTCTGTTTCATTGATGTTCTTCTGTAATCTAAGAACATAGTATTTTGTTTCATTATGTTTCTACAGTCTGCTTGTGGTTGAATGTTCGCCTTGTCTTGAGGGTATGACAGCTGCATTCTGTGTCTACAGTCTACTTGTTGAATGCTCACTGCCATGCATTTGGATTTTTTAAATAATTAAGAACATAGCATTTCTAATTTGGATGCAATGCATCATAATTATTAATTGTCCCCCTCTGGAAGTAGGGAAGGATGCTATTAGTTGGTAGAAATGCATAGTGGGATAGTAGCGTGAATGCAACTTTCATGAAAACCCTTTTGACTATAAGTCTCAAGCTGTGAACTTCTTAGTTTCCCCATGCATTGATGAACAATATAGGAGTCAGGAGACCAGTTCTTGTGGTATGGTTTGGCGGTGAGCTGTGGTGGAAACTTAGTATCTTTTTGCTGATATATCTTTTATATGCTTGAAATCAAGTTTTAGGTGAAGTTTTGTAGAGTATTGTAGGATACATAAAACATTAACTTGATGACAGGGATGATGAAAATGAACTTGTATTGGCTGCAATGCTTCAAGGTTTCTCTGATTCTGTTGCTCTTATCCTGAGGTAGTAACACTTCCTACTGCCTAAGATTTGCTTTCTTTCTTTGATATTCTCTTCAGTGTGATCGTACGATTTCTATTTTATTGGTACACGAACAACTTAACAACAGAAACTTGTGAACTTGGTTCTCATCTTTTTCTGCCTTGACGAGATTGTTAAAAGACGATAGACTTGTTTCCTCTTTCCCTCCGTTTATTCAGTGAATGCCTGGTTGTGTAATTTTGTTGTGTGGTAGTGCATTGTTTATTATTTATGCATGTTTGATTGCTTAAGCAGGCAAGTTTGTTAGAGTGAGCATTAACTGTTTGGTTTAATGCTGATTTCGTACTCACATTCTCAATTGTTGCAAATTAAGATGTTTGATTGAAGGTGTAATTTATAGACAGGCTTCATCCTTCCTAAAGTAAGTCAGACTACAATACTCTTCATCTATTTGAACTTCCTTTTTTGGTAGTTTTGAATATGCAGTAAAGTGGCAGCCTCACCACCAACTTTGGCCAAAACTGAATGCTACTGGAAAATTCTAGTGCTTCAACTGTTCATCTGCCTTCCTCTTCTTCTTTTATTTTAATATACTAAGTGGTTTATTTGGTTCAAGTGATATAATTTTGCTGAATGTTAAGAAAATTTGTGTAGTTTACTGGTATATAAGATAATGGCACTTTTCAAATATCTTTTGTGATTAAAATGGGTGAAAGGTTTGCTGTAAAATCTATATAGTCTTCCTATAACTTTATTTGTCAAATTAGGCTTGGTAATAACTGTGTATTTCAACTAATTGATTTGAGATGCATTGAATTCAGCTGTTCCCTTAATGCTCCGTTTTTCAAGTTTTTCCTCACTTCTGTTGGTGGAATTGGATTGAGATGGTCATTTGTGTGTTAAAGAAGATGTGGCAGCAGAGGAACCAAAATAACCTGTGATTCCAACTGTTGTTTTTGGATAACCAATGAGCCCAGTTACTGCTTTTGGAACTGTAACTGCCTAATAGGTATTCCTAGCTCTTCTTTCACTTGAACTATTACACAACCTGCTGTTTTGAATATCTACTATTGCCAAGTGACATTTGCAGTCAGCCATGATTGCAAGTTAGCTCTAGTATCTGTGCAAATCCTGTGGCCGATTTTAGCAGACATGAAATAACAAGCTTTTACCTTGACAATATATAAGTTTCCATGCATATTTCATGCATCTTGTAGTGATGAAGATCAAAACATATGAGGCATAATATTAGTCTTTTTTTTATCTTTGTTCATGCAGATGCAACAGTACAGGTTGCTTGGGATGGAGTACATGGCACAAAGATTTTGTTTGCTAGAAGGATGAAATTTCCAACGTTAACTCTAGACTATCTTAGTTAGCTTATTTATCAGTTAGTTATTGTGATGTAGATTGTAGCATTATAGAAATATTGACTATAAGATTTGACACTCTTTCAATTGTTAATAATATAATTTTGCTTATACTTGGTGGCTGAGGATTTAATACTTTTAACACAAGCATTTTTTGCAATTAGTAATGAGAAAATTCTTATTAATTTGTAATTAGTTGTTGGAAAATGCTGTGACTATTGGTTTGTAATTAATCAAAGTAAGTTACCGTGACTAGTTGTAGATGTCTAGTCACGGGAAATGATTTTGTCACGGTTAATACCGTCCTAAAAGTAATACATCCCGTCTTTAATTGTGTTTTTACTAGGATATGTGCTCCAAAATTTGATATTAGGTATGGTTTTTCCCGTGATTAATAGACACAAGTTATCATGGGAAATTATACCGTGACTAGTATAACTAGTCACGGTACAAGTTTACCGTGACCTTTACAATTAGACACGGAGGTATATATTACGGTAATTTTCCCGTGAATAAAACTATTAAACACGGGAAACACACTTTCAAACACGGGATTTCCCATGACTAAAGGATATTTTTCCTGTAGTGGTTACTTAGAAGAGAAACTGCTGGAGCGCCTTGAGGGGTGGAAACGGAGAACCTTGTCCTGGGCGGCGAAAGAGACTTTGATAAAATCGGTGGCCATGGCTCTGCCCCTTCATGTGATGTCCTGCTTCAAGCTGCCGCTGGGCCTATGCCGTCTGCTGGACAGGCATGTGGCCCGGTTCTGGTGGGGGGATGAGGACAATCATTCGAAGGTCCGTTGGGTGTCTTGGCGGGACATGTGCCGGAGTAAACACGATGGGGGGATGGGTTTCCGACGGTTTGAACATTTTAACCAAGCCCTCTTGGCTAAGATTGGATGGCAAATCCTCCAGGAACCCCAGTCTTTGCTTGCCCAGGTGTACAAAGGGAAATACTTTCCGAATGGCCATTTCCTCAATGCGAAGGCTCGGTCTCGCCCCTCGTGGGGTTGGCAGAGTATTCTTCATGGGCGAGAACTCTTGGAAATGGGCCTACGGTGGCAAATTGGGAATGGTCGGGCGGCATCCATGTTGCACTCTACTTGGATCCCCCAGAATCAGTTTGAGCCGATTCGTTATAACCCTCTGATCTTGCCACCAGGAGGGGATCCCCCAGTTTCGGAGCTTATTTGTCAAGAGGGTGGTCGTTGTGTGACTCCAAACTTAGCCAGTGGTTTGACCCTAGCACCTGTCGGAATATTAAGTCTATTCCTCTCCCATGTGTGAATGTGGAGGATAAGTTAATATGGCATGACACGGCGGATGGTGAGTTTTCGGTGAAGTCGGCTTACCATCTGGCGGTTGCTTTGGACAGGCGTAGGGGTCGTTGGAGGGCTGGGGTGGATTGGATGGATCGTACAAGTTGGATTCGCCTTTGGGAGGCTAACATACCGCCAAAGTTAAAGGTGTTTCTCTGGCAAATATTTCGTCGGATCCTTCCTACTACAGAAGCTTTGAGGGATAGAAAGATTGTGGTTCATCCGCGTTGCCCGGTTTGTTGGGCTAACGACGAGACTTTGGAACACCTCTTTTTGGATTGCCAGGTAGCCAAGGCTCTTTGGGGGGCTGCGGGCCTTGAGCATATCGGGGAAGGACTACCGCGTCATTCTTTTCCCTTGTTTCTTAAGAAGGTCATGAGTCTTATCCAGGGCCCTGCTTTGTTCATGTCGGTGGTGGCCGTTCTCTGGCGAATTTGGCGATCTCGTAACTGGGTGGTCTTTGAGGGTAAGCAGTATAAAGTGGAGGCGCTGGTGCGTCAGTTCACGCAACAGTATGAGGAGTGGTTGAGCCTCCCGGGGGATAGAGCGGGTCCGCGCCCTACTGCTACTGAGGGCCGTCATGTGCACCAGGAGGAGGTGTCGGGCGTTATCTGTGGTTGGGATGGGGCGGTTCGGAGGGGATCGCATTCTGCAGGTGGGATGGTGCTAATGGATCTGAATCGGGATATCATTATGGCCACTGGCTTCCAAATCCCTGTCATTGATGATCCTCTGGTGGTGGAATTGCTGGTTTTGAGGAGCGCGATTCTTTGGTGCAGCGGGCATGGATTCTCTACTGTGCGGTTTGAGGGAGATGCCAAGGTCGTCATTGAGAAGCTCCAGCGGAAGGAGGTTAGGGATGGCAGGATAGGAGCTATTCTGGAAGAGGTGCTGCATTATTTGTCCTGTTATCCTGGGTTTTCTGTACGGTTTGTAGGTCGGCGTGCCAATAGGGTAGCCCATTTGGTGGCTCGTAGGGCCCTTTCTCTGTACCCGGCTATGAACCGTCATTTTGATTTTCAGACCTGGCTGATCTCCAGGATGTAACTATCTTTTTGATCTAATATATGATTATCTTTTGTAAAAAAAAAAAAAAAAAAAAAAAAAAAAGACGATACCAAACATCGTCACTCAGCTGGCCTCGTCCGTCACGTGGAACTTCCAACCGCTTCCTGCCAAAACTGCTGACCTCTGCCCACGCCACCCCTCATCGACTCCGAACTATTTCCTGCTACCTGACGTGTGCGCGTAACGCGCCGCCCCAATCGCCAGCCTTACTAGAAAATTGAAAAAAAAGAAATATCTACCACATGCTTCACCAAAAGTCCAAAACGCTTTGGAGCATTTGATTCGGTGCTCCGCAGGTCTACCGCCCTCTTCCTGCACCCAATTCTGCTATCTTATTGCCTTCCCCTTCTCATTTTGACAGAATCAATCATAATATAATATCCATCTAGCGTTGAGCAACAATTAGTGCGGTCACAAATTCCTGTCTGCCGTCAAGCTAATGACTACATATATAATAACGATAAACCATATTAACCCTCCTCCCTCCTCTCATTGAAACCATCCAGATAAAGAGAACGTACGTACGTTAAAACAGTTCCAGCCCGCAGCTCTACTACTTGCTTACTAGATATTCCTTGTGAGTAATCACTATACTAATTAGGGGCAATATGTATATCTCCTTCTCCCAGTTAGCCTCTACTGCTGCTTTTCAATTCCAAGCACAATCACACACCACAGCTCTAGCTAATGCTTGCGGAGGTTGAGCAGCAAGTCGCTCGAGCAACGATACACCTTGTTCTCTCCCTCTGCCACAGTATGTGCAATCTCTCTCGCCGCTTCAATCTGCCTCAGTGTGATAAATGAAGGGTTCGACTCCATAGCTGTACCAATCAACTCAGCACTCTTGGCCTCCCCCTCCGCTCTGATGATGACACTCTTCTTCTCCTGTTCAGCCTTCTCGACCACGAACTTGACCCTCTCCGCCTCTTGTGCAGCCACCTGCTTAGCCTCCACCGCAGTGGTGAATTCCTTCCCGAAGCTCACGTGGATTAGGGACACATCATCCAGAGTTATCTTAAACATCATCGCTCTCTTTTTCAGCACATCCCATATCTCTTCACTCACCTTCTGCGGGATGGACAACACCAGACAGACCACATGTGCATGTATACTATTAGTTAATGGGAGACCACATATAAATGATGCGATGATCCTGGAGTGTAGGGCAAAAGCAAAGCAGCTCACGAAAATGCAAGAAACCAAGTGCTTACATTTCTCTGAGTAACGAGTTCACTGGCATTGTAGCGAGCTATAACAGTCTTGATAGCTTCTTGCACAACTGATGGCATCACCCTTTCATCATAGTCATGTCCAACAGTTCGGTAAATCTCTGGCAAGTTTGGGGCTATGGGACGACTCAGAATGCGGATGACAACCTTCACCTGCGCAAGGAAGATAAAGGCAGACTCTTCTCAGTGCCCTGCGCTTTTTCACAAGCAATTTAACTGTAAGCAAAATTTAAGAAAGCTCCTTAAACAAATTCACAAAAGATTCCACAAAACTGGTTCCGAAAGGCAGCAATCAGTAGAAGAAGTAAAGGTAGCTCCAGAGATCCTTACTAATGCTTGCCACAACCAAGTACTGAAGAAATGCATCATCTACTATGTACATAATGCAAACTTTGCACCACAGACATAAGATGTAGATAACCAATTTCCACGTAATTATCTGAGCTACTAACAGAAGAAACACAAATACAAGGAAGAAGCCAAACAGCTTATCCAATCTGAGATTATACAGAACAAACTCATGAAAAAGCATGAAAAGGAAGCATAGATAGCTAGTAGATTATAGAATGGTCTACCATCATCTTAAACATGGATCACTACAACACTCTCTAAGTATTCCTATGTCCGGAAAGCATTAACAGGAGAGAAAGAGAATAAACAAAAAGCGACGCTAAACCAGTTACCGTTTGCAAGTCGCGGGTTCCCGATATGCTCTCTATAAGATGAGGTTGAGCACGGATTTCATAATGGATTGGTTTCTCCAAAAATGGCCAGCGGATGTGCATTCCCTCCCCATAAACCTGTGCATTGATATATAAACATTTAAAAAAGAAGACTTGGAAAGAGTGACAAAGTTTTAAACTGGAATGGCTAAAGAGACATGGAAAAATGATGCACAATCAGCAGAGTCACCCTTTTCAGCTTGAATTCCACAACCCCCTATCCCCTCTGTATATATATCTCAGTAACCATTTTATCAGACTCTGCAGCTCAGTTTTAGCATAAATGTGCTATTGAAGTATAAGATTTCAAGGCAGCACACATTTCTTGTCCAAGAGAAGCACTGATGGCATAAAGAGAGACACAATTACAAGACTCACGAATGACAGTTGAAGGCAGCACATTAGTTGACTTAATAACAAAAAACTCACAGAACTTTGAGATATTCTAGGAGGACATTTTCTACAGTTCTTCTTATCTAACTAGGCAACAACACTTCCAACAAAAAAAACTGGGCAACAACACTTCCACCAAAAAAGAACTGGGCAACAAAACTAAATCAAGTTTAAGCGAAAGTGTGCATTACAACACTGCACTGATTATGCATACCGATTCTCTTTGCAGACTGAATCGATTTCAGCCGTGGCATGATTCTGGATTTGTATGTCATAAAGTAAAGCACGGAAGTGGGATTGAAAGAACAAGAACTCGAAACGCATCTAAACTACACAAGTTTGCATATCGAAAGAATATGTTTAGAATGACGAATCACATATAAGGAGACAAAATGCAAAAACCCAGTATTCAGAACCTTATCCTTAACACCAGACAGACGATTGAACAAAATGGCACGATGCCCTCCCTGGACACTGTAGAAAGTGTTGGACCAGACATACACCCCAATGCCACCATAAACCACGAGCTTAAGCTTTCTGAGATCGGTATGACCGTTCAGATACTTTAGAAATGCCCTGGTTGCCATCCTGCTCGATGCTGCAAGTATAGAATTCAATAGTCTTTATTTGGTAAATTCACAAACGAACTGACAATGAAGACAGCTTACTCGAGCAAATGAATTGAACAGTGGATGATTACTTTATGATGTATAGAAACGCATGAGCCAAACAAATTGGGATAAAGATAAGAGAGAAAAACGAAATACAAAAGAGGATTTACACGGGCAGACAGCTTCCTAGGGCTCAGAATAGAGCTCCAAATCCACAGGAAACGTATTAGAACACCCAGCAAAACAAAGGAAACGAAACCTCCAGTTGTTTCAACTGCAGTCCATGAAGGCTTCTTCAAAGAGAAGCTGAACTACAGAGGACAAGAGGCAAACCCTAAACCCACAAAACTGCTGCGCTAGAAAAAGGGATTGAAGCAGGATCGCGAAAGAATAACATCAAATTCGACTCATAGGAATAGAATGCGAAGCACCGAGTCAGGGAACCAACAAAACCCCAATTCGCATTCAGCTGAAAGAAAATGAAAACGAAGAAACGAACGCAAAAGGCATGCGATCCTAGACACATTACGGTGTGATCTAATTTCCGAAGTGAAAACAAGGCAAAGCTGGCAGTCGATAACTGAAACGGTCACCGGAAAACCAGAATTGAAAACGGGAACGCAGTCGAGAATCGAAATGAAGTAACGCGGAAGGGAAATATACAGAGATCCGGGCCTGGTTACCTTTTCTCGAAATGGCAAGAAGGAGAGCAGTGCTTTTGCTTGGGGAGGTTGCAGGTGTGGGTTGGGGTTTTAGAGTGTACAAAGCGAAGCAGCGGGTAGGGTTTATGGATTTTAGCGGGCTGGAGATCGCGCGGTTGTCCCTCAGTTTTTGCCAATGGGCAAGCTTAGCGTGGGAGAGAAGATACGACGACTCCAGCTGGATTGGAGCAGGGAAATTTAAAAAACAAAACTTAAAAGGTCCAAAAGGTTTCTCCCTAGAGAAAAGGGTACTTTCGGTACTTTCGGGTCGTTTGGATGAAAGCAGGGATGAGGATGATTTGAACCTTCCCCGCATGGATATGGGCGGATTCGGGTTTGAATATTTAAAAGTGGGGATGAGAATGGTTTTGGCAAATCCGCCCCATTGTCATCTACAGTTAGATATGAGTTATGTACCTGTGCAGTGATATAGATCCTAGGGGTGTACATGGGTCGGGTGGTTCGGGTTTAGCCATTTTAATTACCCGACCCATGCACTACGGTTTGAGAAATATTAAATCCAAACCCACCCAAAAAAAATTAAACCCTACAGTGTGTTTTTAATTGGGTTGGGTCGGATTTGCGATATTTTTAAGTAAAAACTCAACCTAACCCATAATATGTAATTATTTTATACCATAAAAATATTTTATAACCCATAACTGGAGGATGGTGAAGATAGGTCGACGACGACTAGAGAGAGGAGGATGGTGGTGGAAGGCGCTGGAGGAGGACGACGAAAGGAGGGATGATGGTGGCGGGAAAGAGAGGACGGGTAGCAGCACGACGATTGGATGGTGGGGAAGACGAGGAGTGGCGCAAGGGTGGTTGCACAGAGAGGAGAAGGGGGAGAAAATGCGCGACAGCAGGATGGGGAGGGGGGGGGGGAGAGGAGAGAGAGACGAGTAGGGTTAGAAGGGAAAATTTTGTATCAATTAAGAGTTTTTTAATGATAGAAATTGCACTTTTTTTTTTGCATTACAGGAGGCACAGGCCAAAGAAGGAGAAACAAGGGGGAAGAGATCAGATGTGAGAGATGGGAGAAGTGGTCACTATATTTCTAGGAAAAGTGATTCCTCGCTGATCATCCTGTAAGATGGGAATAACCTCTTGCGGTGGGTCCTCTAATTCATACATACCGTAGGGATAGACGAGACTGTGCTTCGAGAGCCAGTCCGCGACTCTATTCCCCTCTCGGTAAGTATGAACTAGGTTCACCACCCAATCAAGAGAGATCTTCCTCCTGATGGCCGAGAGAAGAGCAGCATAGGGGTGGAGAGGGTCCGTCCTGTTTTTCACAAGTTGAATAGCCAACTGCGAATCTGATTCGATGATGATGGTCCTGTAGCCTTTGTTTCAACCGAGCCTCAAACCGTGATAAATAGCCCACAGCTCGGCCAGAGTAGCCGAACAAGCTCCCAAGCTAGACACAAAACCACCTAGCCAGCAATTGTTGGAGTCACGAATTACTCCTCCAGCCCCGGCCAGGCCCTGGGATCCTCCTGCAGCCCCATCAACATTGACTTTCGTCCATCCTGCAGGTGGCGGCTGCCAACCGATCTCTGTCATAACCCTGTTCGGCGTCGGGTTTCCCTTTCCACCAAGCGGCGTCGGAGCATTCCAAGCACGGATCCAAATATCAGCTTTGGTCTTGATTGCCTGCATAAGAGAGGGGGCCGACAAGGTCTTATTAAAATCTTTGAAGACTCCTTCATTTCTGTTCTTCCATAAACACCATAGGGCAATCCCGAAGAAGGCATCCCATGGAAGTCCGTTGGCTGAAGATTCCTTGCTGGTTAGATTGCTGTGTAACCATTCATCCCACGGGAGGTTGAAGAACTCATGTTGGGACGCCTCGGGAACTACACGATGCCAGAAGTAGACTGCAGGCGGGCAGCTCCGGAAAATATGAGATAGGCTCTCGGTCTGGGAAGGGCATCTGTAACAGGAGTCCTCCTGGGTAAGCCGTCTATGAGCTCTGAACTCGTTCGAGCTCACCTTTCCCTGCGCAAGCAACCAGATGAAACATCTAACCCGCTCGGGTACAGTGAGATGCCAAATGGCTTTCCACCAACTCTGCTGTGTGCTGGCGGGAGCTGCCTGAAGGATTTGGTAAGCACTCTTCGTAGTGAAGCGGCCATCCGCCGTTGGGGTCCAGAACAACTGGTCTTCCTCCGTAGCCAAGGGGTCAACAGCGTGGGCTGTTATTCTGTGATGAATCTCCTGCGGGAGAAGCGAGCCAAATTTCTCCACTTTCCAATTTCCTTCCTCATCAACAAACTCGGACACCGTTAGCTGAAGGTCTTCCTCCGAAATCATCCCCGTCGCCATCTCGTGGAGGGGTCCCTGCAAAATCCAGTTATCCGATCAAAACTTAGTCTGACTACCCCGATGGATATTCCAGACGCAACCCTGCTTAAGTAAATCAGCTGCTTTAGTAAAGCTAGCCCAAGTAAAGGAACTTCCCTGAGGCCTGAACACGTTTAAGAATATCCAAGTGATGCCGATTTCCTCCATATTTAGCGCGCACCATCTGGACCCAAAGGTTCTCTTTCTTCTGAACGATGCGCCAACAGCCTTTAGCTAGCATGGACAGGTTCACCTCTCTACTTGACCGGATACCAAGCCCTCCATTATTTTTTGGCAGGAGCAGCTGAGGCCATCCCACCAAATGAAGATTCCTTTTGGTTTCCGTGTCTCCCCAGATGAAATCTCTATTAATCCTATCAAGCGACCTGCAAACATTCATAGGGAGAAGCTCTGTTTGCATAGGGTAAATAGGAATGGAAGCAGAGATAGATTTCACCACTATGATCCGGGCCGCCAGAGATAGATGTCTGGTTTTCCAGGGTGCGAGTTTTTTCTGAATTCTCAGCACTAGCTCTCGATATCTACTCTTCATAACTCGACCGTGGATTGCCATGACTCCCAAATACCGGCCCAGGTCTACTGTGAGAGGAATTCCAGCTCTTGAAGAAAGCCGGTGCGCTTTCCTCCTGTCGATGTTAGCCGAGACAAACATGGCAGACTTGTTGTAATTTACTCTTTGCCCTGAACTCTGGAAAAACTCATCGAGACATTGTTTGATGATCCTAACTTGCGAGCTTTCTGCTTCTGCAAAAAGAATAAGATCATCTGCAAAGAAAAGATGAGATAGCATAGGGCCTTCTTTGGAAAGCCTTAGGGGTTTCCAGAGTTTATCCTGAATGGCTTGATCGATCCTGTGAGACAGTCTTTCCATACACAAGACAAAAAGATATGGCGAAAGAGGGTCTCCCTGCCGGACTCCTCTAGTGGGCGTGATCGGAGTTGAAAGCTCGCCATTCCACAGCAGCCTCATCCTGTTATGCTCAACACAAAACATAATACAATTGATCCATGAGCTAGGCAAGCCTACCTCCTTGAGAGTATCTCTAAGAAACTCCCATCGTAGACGGTCGTAGGCCTTCTCAAGATCAATCTTCAGAACAATCCCTCCTTTCTTACCCCTTTTCTTTCTCAAAGAATGCAGCACCTCCTGTAAAACAATAATGTTATCCGTGGTCTGGCGCCCAGGAATGAAGCTGCTTTGTCTCGGTGACACCACCTTTCTCATGATGGGTTTAAGCCGATTAGTGATGGCCTTGGTGATAGCTTTCAGGCAGACATTATTGAGGGATATCGGCCGAAGCTGCGAGGCCATCTCCGGGTGTTCTACCTTAGGAATGAGCACCACCGTCGACTCCACCACTTCCTCTGGCAGCATCCCTGTCGAGAAAAAATTCATAGCCATGTCAATAAGAGCTTTTCCGACCACCTGCCAAGATTTCTGGTAAAACACCGCTTGAAAACCATCCGGTCCTGGAGCTTGAAACGGCTTCATATCCTGAACAGCTTGGTAGATATCTGCAGCCGTAAAGGGCCAGAGTAGAGCCAGAAAGTCATCCTGACAAATCCGCGGAAACGCCTGCTTTGGCATCTCATCTGTGTAATCTTGAACATCCTGCAAATACAGAGAGGCAAAGAAATCGAAAACCAAAGCCGCCAGCTCCTGAGTGTCTGACACCCACTCTCCACTGCTATCTTTCAGGCTTGCGATTTTGTTCTGTCGTCTTCGGATCAGGGCCTGTTGATGAAAATACGCAGTGTTGCGCTCCCCAAATTGGACCAATTTCTCTCTTGCTCTATGATACCAGAAGATCTCCTCCTGCTCTAGGACAGCATCCAGCTCCCTTTATCAGGTATTATGCCAAAAAACCTTTATCTTAATACCAACCATTAGATGTAGTATGAATCAACGACTTCTAAAGGAAGTGTCAAAAATCAGACTCCCAAGGGATAGCCGGTAGGCATGCTATCTTGCTCCCCATGATCAGGTATGCATTATGCTGATAACAAATTTGTGTGTCTTGTTTCTTGTCCAAAATGAGCAACCTTCATTATTTACTTTTCTACAATTGTAACCTTTTTTAAATTCAAGTGGAAAAGGTGAGAATGTTATAAATCAATGGTGGTTAATAACTCGAGTTATTGAGAGATGTTTATATATGAATTTTAACTAATTTTTTATATGTTCTGTAAAATGAAAGCAACATAGGTGCTTGAAATTTGTAAATGTCCACCATATTTATGTTTATTAATACAATTGGTAATATTGAGATCATGAAACACGTGACCTCACGTTCAAATATAATACCATGTCTTCAATGAACTTGTCTCAATAATTCAAAATGTTAAAATTGCTCATATATGAATCTTAATTAGCCACTTCCTCACAAAAAAAATGAAATATTCACATGAGGAAAAAAGAACGACATTTAGACCGTGCGTACAATAATAATAGGGTGATTATCATCCACCATTAGAGGTGGCAATTAGGATCCAAATCCATGAATCCAATCCAATCAATCCACTTAATCCAATCCATTTGATCCAAATCCAATTGGATTGGTGGATTCATGGATCAATCCATGGATCCAAATGGCAAATTACGGTTTGGTACCTATATTTTTTATATTTTATATTTTGGTACCTAAAATTTATATTTATATACGAAAAAAATCATTGAAAAATTACATTTTGGTACCTAAAATTTTTCATTATGACATTTTAGTACCTAAACTTTTCAAAATTTACATTTTTGCCCAAGCCTTGGATGTCATTTGGATTCATGGATCAATCCACCAATCCATTTGAGCCAATCCATGAATCCACCAATCCATTAGATCCAATCCATTTGATCCATGGATCCACCAATCCAATCCACGAATCCACCAATCCGATCCAATTGTCACCTCTATCCACCATGCATCATCTATCGACCATCAATAATGTTCTTAAATATGAGTGGATATGATATTATATTAATAAGGGCAAATACAATATAATATTCATAATTATTATGGATCGAGAATTTATATCCTCAACTATCAATATACAAATTAATATCCATAATTACTGTTTCGCGTAATTAAATGGATAGAACCCCGTTATCGTGAGTTTAATTGTAACGGTGTCGGACACGTCAGCCGGCTCGTATAATTCCACGTATGATTTCAATTAACTAATAAATTTATTAACTTTCTTAACGCTTTTTCACTCTTGAGCATTTGAAATGTTCCCCCAAAACCTAGGGCTGGCTAACGAGATACGATAGAGACGAAGTGAGGAAAGGTCGCCGCCACTGTCGTCGCGACCTTCACCGCCGTCGCTCCTCCCCCGTTTCACAGCTTGTCCGATTGAGGAACCCTCCTGGTCAGTGAAGAAGACTGGTTCGATTAAGGAACCCTTTGTCTTCAAATCGCGAGGGTAAGTTCTTCTATTCTATTAACCCTGCCCCCTGTCTGCCTCTTTCCATCGTCAACTGGTTGGAATTAGGTAAGGGTTGTGCTAAAACCCCAATTTGATACACGAATGGGATGTTTCTTGTCAGTAAGAAGAATAATGTCTGCATTGGAGGGATCTTCTGGTTCAACCAACACAAATGACGTTGTCGGGCCGCTGTGCCATTGTAACAGACCCTGCATCGTGAACAAGTCTGGTACTAGTAGGAATCCATGAAGGCAGTTTTATTGTTGTCCAAATTGGAAGGTAATTGTCTTTGTTTGTGACGTTGGGTTTGTTTACCTATGATATTCATCTTAGTAATAACTTTATTTTCATTTGTAGACGAACGATTGTCAGTTCTTCCTATGGCTGGACAAGTATATGAGAAGGAATGGATCAGTGTGGTCTACATATGACGATGAGACAGTTGGTCTTAAGGCAAAACTTATGAAAGTGGAAGCAAGCAACAACAAGCTGTTAGAAGAGTTGATTAGAACTAGAGAAAGTCATGCAAGGTTGGTTTCCGAGCTGAGCAGAATGAGCAACATTATCTCTAACTTTGACACCAAGATAACAAGGCTGATGTACTGTCTAATTGGTGTCATAGTTTACGCTGCATTCTGTAGATTCCAGGGAGTTTGAGAGTTGTAGCAAAATGTAAGCAAACACTTATGTAATGTTCAATTCCATTCTAGTTTGAGCAGTATCGTGATGTGTGGAAAACAAGTAAACTTCACTTTCAGTATTGTTTTGCACGATCTGACCACTTCTATAACAAGTAATATAGACACCTTGTACCAAAGCTAAATCGTTTCAAAAGAAGTTGACAGCATTACATCTGCACTATTTGGGACAAAATGAAGCGAGCCTGTACAGTATGCAAAATATGGTGAACCAACTGGAATCACCTTACAAGCTCGATTGAAATTGTTCCACAATGCTAGATACTTGCGTAGTGTTTGGGAGAAGATGAATTGAGCTTGTACAAAATGCAAAATGTGGTGAACCAAACCGGAATCACCTTACAAGCTAAAATTGCAAACCTCCTGCCTATTAACATATTGTTCTTTCATAGACAAAAGTTAAAGACATAACAAAGAAACAATCCACACACACGTCTTCAAGCCATATGTTGTGGTTGAGACTCAGGTTGAGTTGAAGGAGCTCTTGTTGTATCAATCTGAGTAGGTTGGGTTCCAATTCCCTCTGCAGAAGTACCAGCTCCATCTACCGATCCAGTTGCAAGATTCTCATAGATACAATCAACCCCTAGAGCCTATCTAACTTCTCCATCCACCACCAAGTTTCTGTGAAGGTTCCCATTTCTTGATTTCTACATAAGGAAAACAAACTTAAGGGTTCAAAGTCCAGAATATCATGTAAAGGTTCAAGGATTATATGGCATATGAGATTCTTACACGTGCTGGTGGGTTCAAATTCTCTGGACAACTCCTTGCATTATGGGTTGTTGACCGACATTTAAAGTAGTGCATAACCCTCTAAGAATACCACACAAGACACCAATCAATCATATTCTCAAAATATTCAAACTAGCACATGAACAAGTGGCATACCTTTTGACGGGTTGATCCTTCAGCCTGCAGCCCTCAACCGCTGCCGCGGTTTGATCCTCAAGTTTGTGGATTGGGGCATTTTCTCACGTTGTGCCCTGTACTCCCACAGTTTGAGCAATGCAACAACACTCCTTTTTTTGACATTCCTGTACCCGAAGGCCTCCCATCCTTGTGCAACCTTTTCTCAAGTTCACCTGCTACCTTTCTCCTTTTCTTTTTTGGTCTCCCTGGCATTGCTTTTTTCTTTGGAGGGTATAGTGGATACCCTTCAGCCCTAGGCCAGGCTTGCTGCCCCACAAGACATGGAATCCCTACTTTGTAAACTTTAGCAACAATAGGTACAAAGTAGAAAGGATCCACGTAATCTTTCAAGTGCAACCTCATTAGCCCAAGCTTGACCTCTACCATGTGCTCGCTGCTGGCTAGAGAAACACACTTCCTTGCATCTTCATCCTTTTTCAGTATCTCACTCATAAGACGTGGGCAAATCAAACCATGCATCCTTTCAAACTTCTTGTGCTTCTTCTTCATCATCACCATAATATGAGTTCTGATACCCTCTATAGGGTGTCATTTGAGAATGCGTACCATGGAACACTTCCATCTTTTGGGTGGCAGCTCGAAAATCATGCTCATTAGTCGCATAAACAACCTCCCAATACACTCCTCTCATGTGCTCGTTCTCCATCTTAGTCTTCCAATTAGCAAAGACGTGTCGGGCGCACTTCCTATGCTCTGCAAATGGCATGACTTCATGAATTGCTTCAACTAGTCCCTGAAATAATGTTGTAATATTAGAATGCAGAAAATATGATGTTGGAATGTAAAAAATCATGTACAGAAATCATCACTTACCTTTTGTTGGTCTGAAATTACACTCCAACCGTTTCCATCACCGAATCCTAACTCTTCTTGGAGAGTGTTCAGAAACCAAGTCCAAGAACTTCTATTTCCCCCCTCAACGACGGCCCACGCAAATGGAACAATATGGTTGTTTCCATCCTTGGCCACAACAGTGATTAACATCCCAGACACTTCACCTTTCAAAAAGGCACCATCGAGAGAGAAAATGGGGCGACAACCAGCCAACACATCTTTTCTAAGGCTAGAGAAACCGATGTAGATTCTCTTGAAATACACCTTGTCCTCTAGTCCAAGTGCACTGTAGCCAATGCCACAAGTCCAAAATAGGACAATTGATCAACATCAACGTTGAACTTCTCAAAAAAAGCCCCACATATAGTGGTTCATCACCAGAGAAGTCCATCTCGCCTCCGTGATGGTAGTCAATCTCCATGTATTCAGTCATCTGCATAGTCCAAGTGCACTGTAGCCAATGCCACAAGTCCAAAATAGGACAATTGATCAACATCAACGTTGAACTTCTAAAAAAAAAAATCCCCACATATCGTGGTTCATCACCAGAGAAGTCCATCTCGCCTCCGTGATGGCAGTCATTCTCCATGTATTCAGTCATCTGCATGGTCAAGTATTATAGAGGTTGTTATATTGCTTGGAAACAAAGAGACACAACAACATATGCAGCCAACCAGCAAATAAACAAGGGATTTTTCGAAGGATGCAACAAACAACCATAAAATATTCTCGTTCACATGTGTTGGTTATCAAAATATGGGGAAATTAGAATTCCATTCCACTGCAATTGACCATTATATCCACCAATTCCAGTTTATTTCACGCTGATACAAGGGCAATTTTGTGAACAATCTGAAAAGGTCCAACTGTGGTCCTCACAACCAACTTGCACGAACGGTTTCAAAGAATCAAACTATAAATAGCGGACAACATGGCATGACTGGAATCGATACAACCCTAAGCCAACAGAATGGGTAATGTTCGAATTGGAGAATCGGTACTGAAAACCTAATTTTCCTATACTGGTAAGCTTTTGACGGAACAAACCTCAGAGCCACCTTACCTTCGTCACGAGAATCGTCCAGTCTGGCTTCGATCTGTCTACCCAAAGTCGTTGACCGCTCCGGAACGATTCGACAGAATCAGCTACAGTCTCCTCGGTCGCGTCGATTACACTTCCTCTGGCGCGGGACAGCTGTGCGATTTCGTCGGATGAAGTGGGGGGGGGGGGACTCAGGCGATGGCAGTCTCACCACCACGCCTGCAGGACGGTGAGTGGATCCTCGTCGACGACTTCGTGTCTTCGGAGACGAAGGGGGTGATGGATAGATGAGAGAAGAAGGGGTTGAGGATAAGAATTGGGTGAGTGGATGTGAGAGGAGGGGAGGGGTAATATTTATTTTATTTTTTTACGTTTTATGTTATTATTTACTTAATCAATTCCACCTGGATGCCATGTTATCAGTTCCACCTAAGTTTTTTTTTGCCAGGTCAGCATTTGGATTACTAATATACATTCAAGAAATTCTGGTGTGCATTTGGTAGGTTACTCATATGAATTTGTGTACTTTTATCAAATATAAACCTTTTTATGTGTTATAGTACTAATATTTTTTGTTGAATAATACCAATAAGCATACCATATCGAATAACATGATTTATATAAAAAAAAGAATTTATTCTGCATTGATTTTTTTTTTTGGTAGAATATTCTGCATTGATTTAATTACACGTCAAAGCACTCTGTCGAATTCACCCATGTGGAACAATTGATTTCCTTGTACAACCCATAACAATAAAACAAAATCTCAGAGAAAGTCAAATACAGAACCAAATTTACACAATCGCACCATTATTCGAAACAAAGAAGAGAAAAGAATCGTTCAATTACAAGAAAAAAACAGTTCAAACTCAAGATTTCACGTCTTCTTTTTTATCCCACCAACAAATGAAAATCAAAAGAAAACGCAGAGGAATTCAATTTAACGAATGTCGCCGTCTCAAAACAGAGCTCCCAAGAAGCAGAGCATTCCCAGCCCAAACCCCCGGCCCAAATTCCTCCCGCCAGCCCCATTCGGCGCCGCCGTCGGCCCAGCCGGCTGCGAATCCACCGTGGAATCGGTGTCCCCACCGCCGGACACCCCTCGCGGCCGCGCGCCGGGAGCCGCCCCTGGCGCCGGGGTCCCAAACAGCTCCTCCGGCAGCAGAACCTTGTCCACCTGGTAAACCGCCAGCGGGAAAGTCTGGGCGAGCGGGTTGTTGATGGGGGTGTCGACGACTCCCGTGGAGACGTTGACCTGGTTCCCCTGGCCCGTGAAGTTGAGCCCGTAGGCCCCGCCGTCCTGGCCCGTGGCCTGGGTCCGGACCGGGTTGGGCACGAGCAGGAGGCTGCTGAGGGAGTAGAACTTGGGCGCCACGTGGTAGAGCACGAGCTGGACCTGCTGCTGGACGGAGAGGTCGTTGAGGGCGCCGGACTTGAGGTTCTGGAAGGCGTTGTCGGTGGGCGCGAAGACGGTCATCCCTTCGCTGGAGCTGTTGAGCTGGATGGGGATCTGGTTCCCGACCTGGGTGGTGTTGAGGAGGCGGAGGAAGGTGGTGAATTGGCCGTTCTTCTCGAGGATTGCGGTCAGGTTGACCGGGCCGGCCGGTCCGGCCGGGGCGGGGGCGGATGGGGTGGTTTGGGCGTTGGTTTGGAGGAGGAGGAGGAGAAGGGAGGCGAGGAGGATGGTGTTGGAGGTGGAAGCCATGGTTGGTTTAATTTGTTTGAGTGAGTTAGTGTGTGTGTGTGTGTTTGTGGGAATGGTGGAGAGTGGGATTATAAATGGTGTGTGTGGAGGATTGGGAATGGGTGGTGTTGCCAAGCTGGAGGAGGGTTTTGGATTTGCTGGAATGAGCTGTCTACGAATTTGTGGATCGAAGAAGATGACAAATTGGGAGGGACAAACGAAATGAGACGCAAATCATAATAGAAGGCAACCTTTTATTGTTCTGAGGGGGAATGAAAGGAATGATAGGAATGAGTTTGATTCCGTTAAAGTAAGGTAGAGAGATCGACCAATAAGACTTTATCTATAGGTAGTTATTTTGGAAATTGTGCGGCAAAATCCTCAACTAGCATGAATCATATGGTCAGTTTGGAGAAGCACATGAAATTAACCATTTCGGTTTAAAATAGAAGCACATGAAATTGTGGGTTTATGTATAATGCACTAGTGGGAGAGGGAGAGTGTAGGTCCTGTTTTTGGGCGGGTAGTGAAGCAGCACTAATTCGGTCGGTGGCTGGTTTGGTTTGTATGCAAATGCAAAGCAGGATCGGTCGGTCACATGCAAGCAATGCATCACAAACAACCTCTCTCAAGTCTCAACTAATGCCATTGACTTCAATAATTTTTTCGGTGAGTTGGAAATATAGATCATAGTATATGCAACTTGCTTAATTAGCTGTTAACTGATTGTGTCCAACTTGGCGTAACCACTCGTATTATTAGGGATTATAAATCAATCTGTGTACTGTATATCAATTGATTTCTTTCTTAGTTCAGCATTAATTTTAGTCTCGAAGAGGCAGTAAAGAAAAAAGGATTTGCCTCTTCTAATTCCCATCGTTGGCCAATAACTCGGCGCAATTTTGTTGTTAGGAGAGAAGCTATGTTTCTGCATTGCCAACTTGCATCCAAGTTTAGTTGCATATCACTTTCAGCTCAGGTTCAATGTCGTGGTTCATTGCCACATGATGATTGATGTGACATTCTATGGATACAATGGGCCAAAATATACATCTAATAAGTCCATTCTTAGTTAATAATTAGGCCTACCATTTCATTAATCGAAGCACATGGGCCCAAATATCCACAAAATAGGCCCATCATTGAAAATGGAAGGGTCTTAGAATGCAAGACTCATCATTGATAACCAAGGACGAAGGTCCAAAAGTAGTCAAATTAGTCCCGTACTCGGCGAGAGTTCTTGAACTCCACAAAGATTAAAGGTGGTTTGCTTTATAGATTTGAAAAATGAAAATTTTGATTAAAATTTAAGATTTTGAAAAATGAAAATTTTGATTAAAATTTAAGATTTTACCAAATTATGGATATATATGATGGAATTGTCCTATTTGATTTTTCGTACAAACCATCATTTGCTTGTTGGATTTTTATGGGTTTTGCATTTGTGGTTGTATTAGGAATTTATTTGAGTACCCTTATTGAGCATTATTTATTTTACATTATAATTTTTGTTATAAAGCAATTTTTATCCAATAGCTTCGTCCAACTACCACAAACGGAACAAATGAACATCATTAATCAATAACGTACAACTTCATATTATATACACAATTAGACAATTCCCTAAGGTTTTCAATGTTGCAAAGTATGCTTTGGGATTAACCATGTAGTGCTTGCGTGCAATGAATAATAAATGAATATTGAATGCAAAATTAATATGTACTACATGTTGGTCAATAGTAAATGAAAGAGGATAAGTTGGTGATTAATGAAATAAGTAGGGTTAAAATTGCAAAAAGTTATGATGGACTTTGTACCCCAACACAAATTCCACCTCTTGAGGTGGAATTCTCAAGTCTGTGGGATCCACGGATTTGGCCCATTAAAGTCCGTGGGCTCCACGGATTTATTCCGGCTAAATCTATCAAGCAAACGACAGATTGTGTACAAATTTCATGATCCTTAGTAATATTGACTTGACAACATGATACTGACTTGGAAGAGACACATGAAGGTCAACATTCCAAAATTTTAGTATTTTAACTAAGAAAATAGTTATAAAATTATTAACAATAAAGTAAAAATGGCTAATATTTTAATGCATTATGTAAAATATGACTAATCAATAGAATTTTAATAGGTTAGGATAATATAATAAAAATCTAAAAGAAGTTTGATAAAAAATATACATGGCCCTTAACGAAGACCAAAACTAAACTACCAAGTACACTCGCAAGACTAAACTAAACGAAGACCAAAACAGAAGTAAGCATCCAGAGTTCGATGCATGAGTTTCATAGATATTCATGAGCAGGTACTTAATTATACTTGCACATAAGCACAAGACATGTTTGATGATAAGAACCTCGTTCCTTTTCTTCAAAATCTAAAATAGGAAAGAGGACCAAGCTCTAACAACAGTAACCATTGCAATATTTTTGTGTATTGTTGTTGATATTATTTGAATCAAATTATCTGGCTACGATTAGAAGTCATGAGGGTCTTGCTGTCAAGTCACCAAGTGGGATCCACGGGCAACGCCCCGCTCAGAAAGTTTGGGGGAGCAATGCTTCCCCCAATCCACGGTGCATGAGCTAAATGAAGTTTGGATTTCTGTTATGAACGTGATTTGTAACCTTATTCTTTTATCAGATTGGATTAGGGTTAGACAACATGATTTGTAACTTTATTCTCTTACTCCTTTATAATTTGTATCTTCTCGGAGTATAGTGAAACTGGTTCTCTCCTGTGTGTGGACTAGCTGCCACACATTGTGTTATTGAACCAAGTAAATTCGTATGTCATGTTCGTTATTGCTTTTGTTTTTCTTAGTTTGTTGATCCTCCAACTTTCCTATCCGTAAAAACAGTAGTGACAAATTGTCATCTCTCTATTACGTTTTTTTTATGAAGGTATTTCAAATCCAAGACTTAACCGTTTGAACCGAAAACGGGCGAGATCTTAGTAGTTGGAGAAACCGACGGCCAAGAAGAGCCATTTCCATTCGAACAAAATAAAAATAGCCAATACGAACAATTCATTCCATTCCAAAGATTCCAATGCATGCAGTCTCAACTTTTTTTTTCTTTTTCTTCTGATGAGACCTTTCGCTTTATTAACTGCCTTTGATGGAACTTTAAACTAGAGACATCTAAAAACAACAACCACATCAAGAAAACAGTTGGAAACGATACAAAGAGCTAGCGGGAGAGGATTATTAGTTTTTCAACTTTTTCAAGGGAAGACTTCAATGACTGATCTTAGACCCATAACGGTTGAGATCTTGTAGTTGGAGAAACCGGCGGCCGAGAAGAGCCGTTTCCACTCTTTCTCTGTTCGTTCTTTGCCGTTGACCATAGCCATCATGAACAAGTCGAAGCAGAGCTGAACTTCACCGAAATTCCTCTCTCCCAGCCTCTTCTCGTCAACCACCATATCTATGATGATCAGCTTCCCCTTTGGCGACGCGATTGCTTCTTTACAAACTTTGAGTACCTTTATGCAATTCTCCTCGTCCCAATCATGCAGGATCCACTGCATGCATGCATGCATCAACAACTCATTCATCGTTGTTTTTTTTTTTTTTGTCATAGATAAGAGTATAATAATAAGATAGTTAAAGTACAACAATGGACCAAACATCGAACTGTCGATAAAAGGACATTCGTAGTAGGACCCACCTTAAGTAAAACAGCGTCAGCTTGCGGTACGCTGAGGAACATGTCCCCGCCGACAAATTCCAGATTCCCTTCTCCCTGGAGACCCTTGACCACATGAGGACGATCCAGAACGGTGCACTTGATCTCGGGAAACGCTTTGGCGACGGCCGCCGCCATGGTCCCGGCGCCGCCGCCCACGTCCACCAGCGACGCCACGCCGTCGAACATGTCCCTGCACCTCGACACCAGGACCTCCCCGACCAGCTTGGAGTCGTTGGTCATGCAGTCGTAGAAGGTGGCCATCAGCTCGCCGGAAGGGTCCCGGGTCTCGAGGTATCCCCAGAACGACGCCGTCCCGTGCGCGATCTCCCATGGGGTGCGGCTGCCGTCCTCCCGGAGCCACGTGTCGAGAAACGACCACGGTTCCTGCATCAGCGGGTGGAAGAGGAAGAGCACGCTCGACGTGTGCCTCACCTCCACGGCGGCTTTGTCGTCGTCGTCTTCCCCGCCGCCGGGGCTCAGCAGCAGTCGCGACGACGCGTTCAGCGAGTACCATTCGTCGTCGGCGGCGTCGGGGGATGGTTTGGGTTCGGGGTTGAAGAGGGCGGCGTTGTGGGCGAGGATGCGCATGATGCAGCGGAAGGGTTCGGTCTTGGAAGGTGGGATTTGGAGGGTGGAGAGGAGGGCGGTGAGTGGGACGGCGGCGGCGCCGCCGTGCTTGTGGATGGCGTCGGGGATGCGGAGGTGGATGGCGCACTTCAAGCACATGGAGATCATTTGGTTGAAGGAGCAGCTCCATAGGCGAGCTTGAGCGCCCAGGATCACATCTTGGGAATCCTTTGTCTTCATTTCTTAATTAGGTGGTTTAAGTAATAAAATGTTTTGTAGGTAATTGGTAGAGAGTGTTTGTTGAGTTTATATAGACAAGTTTAGGAAGGTGATAATTACCTAGTGGAGGTGGAAAGTGGAAACTAGCTAGAGTTGGGGATTGGATCTAGTAATTTCGGGGAGGGTGATCTCGGGTTATGGGTCATGCGGATTAGGTCCTGTTGGGTTGGTCGATTTCGAGTAAAACAGATATTGATCGAACCTAAAATTTTAGGACATTTCGTGTTCTCATAAACAAGAGCAAATATGCTTCATTTAATAACAAAAACACACAAATTTTCACATAGTTCATTAAACAAGGGAGTCCAAATATTCTAAAACTCTCACACGTTAATGAAAAGAAATACAAACGGTAAAGAGCGTCAATAAAAGTTATGAAAGTAATACATGGATATTTGATTATTCTTACATTCCAAAATTTCCTTTCAAATTTTTATGATTTTTTAAAACATTTTCACCAATTTATGAAATGAAATTTTTATTTTATAAATGAGTTCAATTTGAAGCATATCAACCCGACCATCCACCCAACACCCCAAGGATTCTGATAACTTGAGTAACTCGCAAACCCAATTAAAATTTCTTAGACGGGTCTGACCGGCCGGTCAACTACCAGCAGGGATGAAATATAACTAGGGGAGGTGGAAACACTTTCTGGGTGTTTGGTATTCGTAACCGCCATACATAACTACCGGTTACTCATCTACGGCAGCAAATCTACGGTGAGGAGCGAAACAAAATCTGCAAACATTAATTATAACTTTCCCCCCGTTGAATTCATTACTGTTTCCTCTTCTTTTTTGTCTTCAATCTAATTGTAACGTACTCATTCTTCCCCATAGATCTGTTGGTCTAGTTAATGTTTGTAGATTTTCTTGTCTTCTTCACCGTAGATCTCCTGTTCTAAATTCCCGGAAAGGGGGCGAAAAGAAAAAAAGAAGCTTGGATTGTTCACCACCTCCGTACGTCAGCCCCACCCACGACAGCGAAAACAACCGAAATTCATTCCCGGCCGGTCACGAATTTGACGAGGATCTTCTTCTTAATGCCCCTGTTGCCCTGCATGACGGCACAAGTTTTTTGAACGACGACGCACTGACGTGAAGCCAACGTTGCTCTGGTGACTTCCTTCTTCGCCGCTCGACGATCGTAATTACGGAGAGGAAACACTCAAAGGCTTGGTTGGGGAGCCAGAAATTTAGGGCACTTCTCTTCTCTCTGCCGCAACATTTTACCTCTTATCATCAATTTTTTCTATAAAATAAATTGATAAAAGTCGTCCTTAAAATTACTATTGATCGTCAACAAAGTTACACTTTTGACCTTTTGACATCTTTTGGCTTTTGCAAACAAACATCACTTACTAAAAAAAAATGAAAAACACTCAATTTCCCACACTCTCGAATTCATCGTTGACATTCTCGAGTCATAATCATTGGGAATACTTCCGAATCATGAGTAGCGATTCCGACGAGGTAAAAATCCGATCCCAAAACCCATCAACCGAAGCCAATTTTCGGTTGTACCATGGCTCAACCTAAGGCAATTTTTGGTTGTACCATGGACCAACCGAAAATCACCTTCGGTTGAGGGGTTTTGGACTTTTTGTGGATTTGTTTGGTTTATATCAATAATTTTCTATTTTTCTACTACGATTTATGGTTCGGTTCATAAGATAATTTGTTGGATTTTGGTTTATATATTTTTTAGATTTATGGAAGGGGGAGGGGTTGTTTGTTTTGAATCTCCAAAGTAGGCACCATGAAACTGTTTTTACACTGAAACAACATATTAGGTCGACCTAATCCTAACCGAGGTCAACCTAATCCTAACCGAGGTTGCCCGAAAAGTGCAAGTTACGGTTGACTTGCAAGTCACCATAGCAAAGTCCAAATATAATTTAGTTGGAAAAATAATTCTCTACTAATACGTAACCATTTTAGTGGATTTATGCGACTAAAAATATTAGTTGTCCTAAAAATCACTAAAGATTATATCAATAAAATTCAGAAACATATTTTGTTACCAATTTTTGTGGTTATATATAGTTTAATTTGTTTGTAAAAATTATTCTTGAGTTAGTGACCATTTTAGTGTGTTGATGTGAGCAAATGTATTAGTTACTTTAAAATGCACCGAGTGTGGTGAACAATAATTTTGGCTTAAATTCAAGACCATATGGGAAGTCTCTGCCATCTTTGTGGGATCTTGGATTTGGAAGCATGTACTTAAGTTTAGAACTATTGCAAGTGAATTTATCACATGGACATCAGATTCTTTAATGTGGGATGGTAGTTATATGCATCATTACTCAGTGACTAAGGTATGACGCAGTATTAGAGGGGCTCACCCTAGGGATGGCAATGGGGCTGGTTTGGGGCGGATTTGACTAAATCATCTTCATTCCCATCTTCAAATATTCAAATCCATACCCGCCCCATACCCATAAGGGGAATGTTTGCCAAACCCATCCCCATACCCGTGGGTTTCGGGTACCCATGGGTAATACCCGTACCCGTACTTCAAACATTATTATCCTATATTTACAAGAAAAGTTTTAACTACAACTCTAAACGTACCTATTATATCACGAATTCAACAAAACACGATCATTTTCTTAATACGGTTCAAAGAATATGATCCTAAAACATTCGTTAATACATAATATAGAGTATAATATTTTTCAAATTATTATGTTCTAACTCTGATACATCTACTAAGTAATAATTAACTAACATAATCTTGTTGACAAGGGGGAAAGTGAAAGGAGAATTGAGAGAAATGAATTAGGTTTTGATTAAGATGGTCACTCAATTGCATTTCTACTATTTATTTCCTCGAGTCATCCTCATCATCATTGATAGATTACAATTTGATCCACATATTTTTGTATATGTGAAGAAATTCTCTTGGTGGGGCGGGTATGGGTATGGGGCGGGGGATGCTAAAACCATACCCGCCCCATACCCATCATACTTTTTGCGGGTTTTACCCATACCCGCCCCATACCCGGTCAAAGCGGGGATTACCCGCGTTGACTGGGTCGGGGGCGGTCGGGTACCCGCGGCCATGGGTTTGATTGCCATCCCTAGCTCACCCCCAAGTTAGTTGGACAGATCTGGTTTGGGGTAAGTTTCTCATTCCCAAATATAGTGTCTTGACCTAGATGATAATGCAAAACAAGATTACTACTGCTGACAAGTTAATCAAATGAGGGTTCTTCATGGCTGGTGTGTGTTATGTGTGGGTGGATTGGACAGTAGAGATCATTTGTTTGGAGAGTGTCCCTTTTTCCATTTTATCTTGCAGGTTGTCTTCCCTGAGGCCCCTCCATTGACTCTAGATGGCTGGAACTCCATGTTGAATTGGGCTATGGGACTTTGGAAGGGGAACTCAGATTGTACAAGAGTTTGCAGGCTGCTGTGGAGACTGGTGATTGCCCATGTGTGGAAGGAGCGTTGGTGCAGATGGTATGGAGATGGTGGCACCTGCTCACCTCTTCGACTTGTGTCCCAGATTATAGAAAGTTTTTTTTCCCGTTTATAGAAGTTGATATATTGAGAGATAGTAGTAAAAAGTATGTAAAAACGGGTCTGTTTTGAGAGGATCCCACGTTTGGGAATCCTGGGGCTTAGTGATAATTTTTTTATTTTCATAAAAAAAATTGGTAAGCAAAATATTTCAATATTTTTATACCAATTTTTTGGTCATGAAAATTTAAATTTGGTCATAAAACTATCTTTTTTAGATGCTCTATCCTCTCTCCTCCAGCTGGTATCGACGATAATCATGTTTCTGTATGTCAATCTAATGCATCAGGGACAGGGGCGGACCCAGGGGGTTTTAGGGGTGTCCCCGGACACCCCTAAATTTTGGGAATACAATTATCCAATCCCCGGTGGTAATTTACGTATTGACAAAAAAAATATAATTGATAGTGAGGGACACCCCTAAAATTTGAGAACATGATTATCCCACTGTCATTTGTGTATAGGAATATAAGTGGTAGATTGGGTAATTCAAATCTAGAACACTATTCTTATTAATAAACTTAATTTTCGTTGAACTACAACTCATTTGTTGTTCGATTTTGAAAAATATAATAGTAAAATGTCATTTCCTGTCTCTAATTATTTTAAAAACCTAACAATTAAACTAATTTCAAGCTACCCTTAATACGACAAGTGTTGAAAGAGTCTTTCAGCTTTGGGTTACATCGAGAATAAGTTTACAAATCGAATATGCAATAAGTTCGTGAATGATTGTCTAGTAGGGTATATAAAGAAAATTTTTTTAACACTATAGACACCAAGCGTATTCTACAATTGTTTCCGAATATGAAAACAAATCATGGACTTTTTTAACCTGTATGAGTAAGGTATTTTCAAATTTATGATTTTAATTTTATTAATTATTAATTATTTTTATTTAATTTATTTTTAAAAGAGGACACCCCTATGAAAAATTTCTAGGTTCACCACTGATCAGGGATCTAGTCGAGGTCGTAAGGATCAAGAGATCAACAACCTCAAAGGAAAGAAAGCTAATCTTGAACAGAGTTAATGGCTAGGTGAGGTTTGTCTAGGGCTGGCTATTTGGACCGGGACCGGATGAAAAACCGGAAACCGGACCGTATAACCCGGACCGAGACCGGACCGAGACCGGATAGTAAACAATCCAATCCAATCTTTGGGCTTAGATTTGAGGTAAAAAACCGGATAAAGACCGGATAAGAGAGCTCAACACCCAAAACTTAAGGGTAATTTGCATAAACGGTCACAAACCTTTGTACTTAGTACAAAACTTAACCAACTCCTCACCCTTTTAGGTCTTAGGCCACTCAAATTCCCACAATCTCAATATAAAATCAAGACCGAATTGGGACCGGACCGGGTCAAGACCGGACCGGATCAAGACCGGACTGTATCCAATCCAATCTTCGGTCCTTATATTTTCAAAAAAACCGGACTGGACCGGATCAATTTGGGCCAATTTAACCGGACCGGACCGTATAGCCACCCCTAGGTTTGTCCATGAAAGAAGATATGAAATCCGGATCAGAAAACGGAAGCTGGGTATTATCTCGGCGAATCATGAAAAGTTAGCTCCACTTAATAATAATAAAAGATCTCAAACGTTGAAAAGGAAGATGTGAAGTTTTTCCCTTCCTTCTTCGACAGAGCTAGACGAAGGAGGCTGGTCGGATACAATCCAATCCTCAACTACTATCATCGACGGACTAGGGGACCATACCATCCACGAAGAGCTATCTCAGCCGGCATATGTTCAATGCGCTGCTCTAGATGGGGGACCTCCTGTTCACCCAGATTTGACGAAGGAGGCGCCTGGGGTGAGTCATGTTCGCTTGCCGCCGGTAGCTCATCGGCCGTTCACGAGCAGCACAGGGCGGAAACGGGAAATCCGACTAGGGTTCAGTGGACCGTTAGAACCCTTCATCCCCGGATTTTGTGGCCTGTAAATGGGGAATCTTTTTTTCCTCTAATAATCAACTACAAAAGCCCTCTCCTACCCAAACTCCAAAACCTTCCTACTGAGTCGGGACTCCTATACTTGGACAGAGAACTACCAAAGTGCTACACTGCAACAACTCAAAAGCACCAAAACTAGCAACTTTTTTCTCCAAAGATCAGCAACATCATTCTTCAACTTTCTTCTCAAAAGCTCAACAACAATATTCTTCAATAAAATATAGCAGCAGACAAAACAATAGTAGTGATCCATGGCTTCTACAAGTAATCCACATCAAACCCTGCAAAGACCATATGATGCATGAGTTTTGGCAGCTACGTAACTGTCAGTAACACTAAATTCTGTAAATGACTGAAGTTAGTATAAGAAAATGAAGGAAGTGTGATAGAAGAAACATTCAAGAATTACATATTCAGTGAGTTTCACTCAATGAAGAGAAGTAACCTTCTAGACTCCTACGCCATCATCATTGCCCCTCTACTTGAATAAAAACAACAATCATCATAGAATTAAATTAATGCAGAAAGTTGAGATAATGAATGTACTAAATTAAAGATAGCAGCAATCACTATTATCTTGCAGCCAAGTCCTAGTGCACATTAGAGCTTCAACTGTAGATTGATGCAATCTGCTCCTATGAGGATCTAATAATCAAACTTCAGAGCTGAAGACCGATTCTGATGCAATATAAGTGACATGAACAACAAGAATGTCTATTGCAATCTCTTGCAAGATGGGGGTATATAGGGCCATTGATCTTCTAGCACATAAGTATATGAAAATCAGGTGTACAAGACATGATATCCTCATTCAAATATGGCATCTAACTCAGTTGTAACACATGAAGTCTTAGACTTATTCCCTCGACTAACAAATAAGTCAAAACCTTGATATGAAATACTAGAACTTGCAGGCAGGTCATTCCCAATTGCAGCAGGATTGTTACCAATCTTGCTTGAATGGTATTCAACCACCAAATCTTCCCAAAATGCTTCTTATTTCATTAGCCCTCAATGATGAACTACCACTTAGACCTAAATTTTTAGCATAATACTCGACAATGTCAAGTTTATAGTGCAGGGTCTAACACAACAACAACCAAAATATGTTGGATCACTTCCCCATATTTGTTGAACTTTGCACACATTGATTCAAACATACGTTGAATGAACTTATCGGGATCAAACATCCATTCACATATTCTAATCCTCAAATCACAAATGCTAGGAAAACACGAGTTCACAGTTGAATATTTGGAACCCCGAAAACATGTAAGAAATCAGAGTAAAGCAGTGGAGTTTTTCACGTACAATCGAAGCAAACAACCAATCATCATTGGAAGGGAAAGAATCATATTGAGGGTTGTGTTGTTCTAGTATGTTAAATACTTCTTTGTAAGGAATAAAAATGGGCAACATTAGAAATGTGAAATTCCATCTTGTAGGGTAGTCCAAAATCAGTCTCTTCTCACATGGAACACAAAATTGTTTAGGGGTCGTTTGCTTCATGGATTTAAAAATGAGGGTTTTGTAATTTAAAAACCCAAGGATTTATCAAGGATTTGAGGCATCATGGATTTGTAACAATCCTTTGTTTGTTGGGATGTTTTTATCATGGATTTAAAGGTGTGGGATTAACTACTTGAAGTCAAAAATTACATTACTGCCCTTTTCTATATGTTTGACATGTTTATGATATGTACACAAAACAAGGACAAAACTTCAAAATTACCTTACTATCATTTTCTATATGTTTGACATGTTTATGATATGTGCACAAAATAAGGACAATACATACTAATAAGCATAATGTTGTCACATGGACAATAATAATAAACGAGAAAATTCTGTTTTAACTTTTAACGTAACATAATCAATTACCAATTCTTTGTCCTCCTTTTCAAAAGTAACATATAACAACATATATTAGAATCGGGAGAACAAAGAATTACACGTTCCATGAAAAGGTCAAAGAAAACTAGAACACAAGAAATGATATAAAAAATCTAACTCGTGTTTGCACATTAATTGAACGTTTATATTATTCATTTATTGTTAATTATAATGTATAATAGTTAAATTTGAGGGCAACCTTGGAATATTAAAAGTGCATGAGAGTATATGGGTAAAATCTCATCAAGGATTTATGCCATATTCCAAATCCCACACCAACATGTGGGATTTATAAGTCTGTGGGGTCCACGGATTTGGACCCTTAAAATCCGTGGGCCCCACGGATTTGGTCTCCAAAAAAGGTGCAAGCAAACAACGGATTGTACCTAAATCCTTGATAGTTGGTTTTTTGGTACCAAATCCATGTACCAAATCTTTGAAGCAAACTACCCCTTACTAGTCCCTTGAAAAAACTCAAATCTCTCGAGCGTGGCCAACCAATAGAACATGTTATCCCTTATTCTTTTAATACCATCATTCACAACATTTGATTCATGTTTGACTATCAGATTCAATATAGAGCATAACACCCCATATGAAAATAATACAATACACCCTTTTTCAACATATACGATAAAGCCGAGATAAAAAAAAAAACATATACGATAAAGCCAGTTTTTCCTTAATTTTGGGTATCATTCCATCCTTTGTGCTACAATGACTCGCATCCATATAGAAGCCGGCCCTATTTTGGAGAAACCAAACGATCAACATAGTTTTCACCGGGGGAACAAATTATTAATCTCCTTCTCCAACATAAAATTAACATTAACTGGTTGTCCTAGGAACAAAAGAGAAGCCATAGCTGAAAGATTTGGAATTGTCAACCATAGTTAGTAAAATACGGTACGGGAAAGTTACGTATAAAATACGTACGGCTATTTTACTTCGTCTCTATGCTAATGTTACGTTTAATAGTACGTTAATTATCACAAATATAGAAAAATAATTATTTTAAAAATAAATAAATATATTAATAATAGTAAAGTTAATAATTGAATTCATTAAATACGGATATTAAACGTGTTATACGGGTTTTATACGTGTTTAATATGGAGCCAACAAATGAACGGACAAAAATAAAACGGCGTGACAATAATACGAATACGAAAGTTTTAAACGGATAAAGTACGTACAGGTACATATACGAGTATTAAACGGAATATTTGTCAACTACCTTCCCAATTTCATTGTACAGAGTTCCAGTGTTTCACCCATTGACGTATGGGCACGTCAGGCGGCAGACAGGCCCACCTCAGATTTCAGCCAATCTAAAAACCAATGCTGTCAAAGCCGAGCCGGAGTATGACCCGGTAACGTGAACGGCTCGGTCATTAGTGGTCCAGCCGGCATTAGACCGTTTAAAAACCGTTTGAGAACCGGTATCAAATTAGCAAATTTACAATGGAAAATCTAACACTACCATTCTGAAACTTCTAGAAGACAGATCTAATCGATTAATCCCCCAGCAGTCCATTTCGTAAGCAAACTAGCTGCCCCTATCAGCAAATCTCAAAATCTACGCTAATCACGTCAAGATCAGCCAAACGACAACTAGATCCACCACTAATCAAATACCCAGTAAACCAATCGCCACCGACAGTTCAATAATGCCCACACTGGAGAAATGCTAACATAGAAATCCCCAGAACCAACGGAAAGAGTGAAGAAGAAGAAGAGAGATGAATTACCCCGTTGTCGGATGGCGCGCTGCTTGCGGCGACGGGACGGAAGCGCTGGGGCAATGGTTGACGGCGACAGGGTGGCGCCGCTCTCCCTCTGTCGTCTGTTCTACTTCTAAGTCGAAGATGAAGAAATAAAATGAAAGTTAGGGTTTTGTTTGGCTGCCCCATTCCACGATTGGGCTTTTTTTTTTTAGGGTAAACCAAACGGCCGAACCGCGCGACCGGCTTGAGCGGCTCGAGCGGTTAACCGCTTCGGCCGCTCGCCGGCCGCTGTATAAAACCGTGGCGGTTAAATAGCTGATCCGAGCCGGTTTTACGACCGGGTGGCGGCTTTGGCGGTCCGACCTGTCGGCTCGGTTCGGCTTTGACAGCACTGCTAAAAACGCCTTCTCGCCTTCATTCTCCTTCCCCAAAAATTTAGAGAAACACATAAAAAAGCCAAAATAGGAAAAAGCAAATAGAAAAGCCAAATAAAAAAGCCTTTGCTTTCTTCCTTCCTTCCTTTCCATCCTCCACCTGAGCCTCTATTAAGATCCGATCGATCCTACAGCCATTTCCCCTTTCCCTTCTCCCTTTCTCTCTTCCGGTTTCTGCTTTCCGCTTCCCTCTCCTTCTCTCGCTTCATTCAATTCATATATTGGCGGCGGTTGGCGGTGGATGGCAAGAACCAACAAGTATGCCTCTATTAACTTCAATCATGTTTATGAGAAGAATCTGACCAACGGCGGTGCTGCCAACGGCAACGGCAACCACCCATCCTCCGCTCCATCGCTCTACTCCACGATCGCTTCTCCCAACAGCTTCAACAACCCCAACAATCTCTACAAGAACCATCTCCCTTCCGCCCGCTCCCATGGCCGGATGCTCGTTCTGACCCGACCCGCTACCAAACCCGTCTCCGCCCCGGCTTCCCCTTCCCCAATTGTCTCCCCTCCGAAACAGCAGCCGACCCCGACGCCGTCTGAGGTAGCTTCCGTTCAGGATTCGCTTCGGGCCGACCCGAATTCGGATAAGATTTCGCTTCGTCCTCTGGGGCGGACCGGAGGCGGTTCTTTGGTCTCTCCTCCTGCGATTCTCGGAACCCCACCTCCGATTGTGGGTCAGGAGAAAGAAAGGGAGATCGCAGTGGGATCGCCCAAGCCGGACAAATTCGTGCCGCCGCATCTTAGACCGGGTTTCGTTGCGAAGCAAGAAAAGCCCGGACCCGAGGCGCTTCTTCCCGGGAGGGAAACGGGACACAGGCAGTTTCAGAATCAGCAACAGGGGCATGTCGGTTCTCCGGGAAGATATGGAAATGATGGGCGACCGAATTCTGGCGGTGGTGGGTATGATAGGACGAGGAGAGCTGGAAGCGGCGATGCCGAGCCTGGTCTGTTGAATCGGCCCAGATCCGGTGGGAGTCGACCTAGTTCCCGTGGATGGTATTGTTTTCCCTCCTATTTGGCTGTTCCTTCTCTGCAGCTTGAATTTTGGGTTGCTCTTGTCTTATGCCTTCCTCTGCTGTTAGAAGTTCCAAATGTTTGGCCGTTATCTCATTGTTGCTCTGTTTCTGAGCCGAAAGAGGATCTTTTGAGCTTTTGCTTGATATGCAGCTGCTTTTCTCCTAACATAAAGCTCTCCATTTCCCCCTGTCAGTGCTTAGTTGTTCTGCTCTTTAGAAGACTAAACTTTGAATCTTTCCTCTCTGGTATGAAAGATATGATCTTCATATCGGAAATGCAAGGTCGGGCACAAAGAATTCTGGGATCGATACGTTCCTTTCATATGTCTATTAATTTGGAAGGCCTTGTTGCCATGGATTCCTATTTGCGTGTAATAATAACTTTGGATAGGTTACTTCATGCATAGAATGTAAGTTGGTAGCGTTTAGTAACTTGCACAGTTGGTAATCCTTCTTCCCGAATTAGTTGGAGTTGAGGTCGATTTAATGATCTGATTGATACCCCGAAACAGAAAAACGTTTCCCACTTCAGCCATTTGCGTTATTGAGCTAGGAATCCTATGTCCAGTTTGGCCATCTACTTTCTTGTTTGGCTTGTGGGTTATGTTAATCAATCCTTGTATGCTTGTTGTCATTTCGGCTTTTTTCCCATATCTGGTCATTTGATGCTTCGGTTTATGTAATACCGTCTGTAATAGGACAAGCAATAAATGGAGAGCACAATGCCAAAATCAACTTAAGATATGCTGGATCTAGTATCCTGTTCAAGCTACAAAATTGATTTTGCAATTATAGGTTGAGATTTATGCATTACCGAGAGCCATGCTAAGCAACTGAACAAACTTTGGTGTTGCAGATGCTGAGTGCCAAGCTGCATTATTTCTGAGGTACGAGCTTCTTTCTGGCCACTTCGGTGAAGGATTTGATACTGGTTCCCCTGATACTTTGGCCTACTACATCAATTCATAAACAGACGACTGCTGTTAGAACTCGAGGAAGATAGGAAATTTAACCTGGTGGACACCTTCTGGATTCCTTGACTCCCAGAGTGATAGGAAGACCAAGTTCCAGGGGCTCCAAGGGGCTGAATCATCTTTCCTGCCTTCGTAATTTGATCTCTTACCCACCCTCTGTCGAAAACCAACTTTGAGTTCCTTTGTAGTGTTGGAAGTTCTTCTTCTGTGTTTCCTTTCTCTTTTGTTTGTTCTGTTCTGTTCTGTTCTGTTCGAAGTCGATTGCTTAACTTTGGAGTGGCGGTAAGCTATCTTCTGTTTATGCCGCCCACTCTGTTACTCTTCCAGTCATGGATTCAATCTACAAGTTCTTCGCATATGTTCGTTTTATTAGTTAGAAGATTCTGTGAAATGGAGGGTTGTGTAATGAACAGGAAGGAACAGCAGGAAAGTGTGGCTAGTTCACAAATTCCTTCCAACCCAGATTGTGAAATGTGGTTTCTTCTTCCATGGACAGCAAATGAATATTGTCATGGATAGATCCACGTTTACAATACAGCAGGCCTTAAGGACGAGACGTTGCAATCAATGAAATGGGACTAACGTGAATAAGAAAGAACATTACAGGTGGTGGATAAGCTTAATGTCTTTGTCAGCGGTGTTCGTTTTAGGTAAAGTAGCGCTGTCATTACCGACAGCAGAACTAAAAAATTTAACTCAAGTCTTTGGCTTATTCTAGTCTCCCTTGGTCCCGGATACGGTGCATCCGTTAGTAGAGTGAAGTCTCATCACGTTAGGTGACAAAACACCTAATTTTGGGTTATTCACGTCATATTTGCGTTATTAATGCCATACTTGTGTCATTCACGTCATATTTGCGTTATTCACGTAAGAGTGTTGATTATTCACGTAATCAATACTGTTAGGTCACGCCACCTGATGTTTATTGACGCATATTGTTAATTATTCACGCCGTTGTAAAATAAAATTTTAAACTTTAAAATATATTAAAATGGATGTCATTGTGTAGATTATGATCAATGCAACATGTTTATACAGATTAAATGATAATCTAAATTTAATTCCATAAAATATAGCCAATACAAATTATTAAGGGGAAAAAGTATGAATTTCCATTTACGTGAAAAACTTACACTTTTACGTAAATCACCATATTATTACGTAATAAGGATAAAATGACGTGAATGGTCACAAAATGGTGTTCTATCACCTAACATGACAAGAGATGCTTTCCCCATCAGTAACTCAACAGGAGGCGTCAATTTGGGGAAGAGACATCTAATGGTTGAGGTCGACGCGGGGTGGGGCAGAGGTATTTTTGTCCTTTTCTTAACTTAATTCTTTTCTTCTTTATACCTTTTCGCATATTTCCGTTAAGGTGGAATTGGATTTAGGAGAGAGAGTGAGAAGAAAACAAAACGATGGAGAAAATCTCCGAAGAATTAGTCGACGGCGAGAACGTCTGGTGGAGGACGCGATACTAACCTTAATCGGCGGTAGGCTTATTTCTAGCAAGTTATTAGTTGTTCTTCCTCTTTTTCTTCGAGTTGTTAGGTTTCTTCTTCTCCCTCTTCTGTTGTTGAGGTTTTGGCGCGATTGCTTGTGTTGAACTTTTGGGTGCTTGTTGTTTGCTCTCCGTCGAGGTAATTCATAGTTATATTAGTATTCTCTATTTTTATTGATTTCGTTCTTTAATTTGTAATCGATTTTGTGTATTTGTATGACTTATCTGCTTCTTCTCTTTTGTTCTCCCTGTTTTGGATTTTGGTCATGGACGCGAATGAGAATGGCATGGTGGTGGAGTATTATATCACTAGTGACTAAGTCCCTAGAGGGTCGTGTACATGTGTAAGAAGTCCATGGTCATGACTCGTGAGAGAAGAGGACAACGACCCCTTTGCGAGACACCACATGCTCATCAAAAGACTAGACAACATGAGATTTGGAACAAGACCAGGTGATGCAAGCTACACTCCAAGAGAACACCTAGGTGGTTGAAGGAGTAACCACCACTCCGAGGAAGCAAGGAGCGGTTCTTTTTGGGAGTTATCCAAGAAGCGGGTTTCTACGATAATTACTCCCCACTGCTATAAATAGGAGGAAGGGTCGACAGAGAGAAAGGTCTAACAACCAAACAATTGATGCCTACGTCAAACTTTATCCTTTTTTCTTTGCAAATATAGCCATAATCGTAGTTTGAAGCTCTCGTTGAACCTCCATAGGAGTATGAGTAATTTAATTTAGATCTCGTACCCAAAATTCCATCAAATCAAACACCCTCGTTCGAACTTTGTTTGAAGAGGTGTGAGTCGTGTCTTAGTAATCGTTGTCCAAAGAAGTCAAAGGTGCAATTCAATTTAACGCAAATTTTCTCGTCGGAAAACATCAAAATAAGGCATCTATGCAATGGAAGGAGAGCGAGGAGTTAGGTCAGCGGCGCTGCAGAAGGAAATCGCAATGGAGGAGAGAGAGGATTTGAATGGGTGAGAGAGAAAGAAAAGTTATGAATGATAAGCTTGACCGTAATTCAAATTATTAATCGATAATTATTTTTTAATTAACCTAATATGATTATCTAATAGTTTGGAGTATTTTACGCACAACTCGAACTTGCCCAAACCTCGATTGACACCTCTAGCTCTAATGTGACTAGCTAGAATCTCCACCACCACTTATGTTGATACACATTCCATGAAAGTATATTTCTTCAGTCTTGTCCTTGACATCACGGGGCTATAGTATTACCTGAACCTACGTTGATAAATTCCGCCAAATGCACTTAACAACCAATAGAGTCTATTGTGGTGGTTGATCATTTCGTTCTTTCATCATTAAGTTAGAGGTTCGATCTCTATCTATGAGAACAGAGCACACCCCGTGGCTACCTATATATGTTCGTGCGATCACACCTAATGAGTGTAATATGGTGATATATCATAGGATCATAACTAACTAATTAATGCATTGTCCTAAATTCAAAATCTCACAACTAATGAGTGTAATATGATGATATATCATAAGATCATAACTAACTAACTAACTAATGCATTGTCCTAAATTCAAAATCTTCAATTCTAAACGCCTATCATAAATTTCAAATCATAAACCCTTGACATTAACCTTAAAGTCTAAACTCTAAATCCTTCAAATCAAGGAAATATTGAATGACTTTTGTGTAAATTCATGCATTTTCTTGTTCCTCATATCACAAGTGACTAGTGACATCGTTTTGACTTGAATCGCCTGCTCAGAATGATGGTTATGAGGCAAGTGTATTAAATGCACCAAAAAAGTCAGTGCACCAAAAACAAGACCATACATATATATGTATAGCAAAGGCTAGAGTACGCCCGACGTATGATATACTATTCACTTTCAAGATGCCTTGGTGGTGGAATGATAAACACTGGAGACTGAAAATTTTGTGCTAAAGAGTGTGGAGGTTTGAGTCCTCTTCAAGGCTTAATATTGAGTATGCCCATTGAATGAACAATTCAATAAGATATATTGGATCGAATGATCACTATTGATATACCGATTTGATATGAGAAGCGCCCGCACTGCAACTACCCCTGAGTATATGCTTCAACATCTTTATGAATGGATAAGTCGCCAATTCCCAAAAACGAATTATGTAATTTACTTTATCTGTTGACCTGTCGAGTTACTGAATTAACAGTTTACCAGAGATTTTTATTATATCATGTGTAGTTCCTGTTGAATGTTGAATTGGTAGAACCAACTTATTACCGACTAGGAGGCCACGAAATCCTCTGCATCTAGAATCGATTTATCACCCCCAATAGATCTCAATCTTATCTCCATTTTACATCTCTCAAATGACCAGGGAAAAGCAAACCATACCTTTTATTAATTACTTGGTATGGAACGATCCATACACCAAACATCTTCCTTATAGGATAAAATAAAGGATACAAAACAAGTACACACATAAACACATGACATGAAAGAATATGTACCTATCCATTGCACAAACACCATCATGATCATCCAACAAGAGCATATTTCACTCACGGATAAACTTCAATTATGGATCGCAGGCCCAAGATGGGAGTGATTTTGTAGTCACGAAAGCCCGCAGCAACGAAGAGTTTGGCCCATTCTTTCTCGTCCCTTTCCCGGCCAGTGACCAGGATCATCATCAGCATGTCGAAGAAGAGCTGCGTTTCAATGGACTCGTCGTCTGCCTTTTGGTTCTCCACCTTCATGTCAATGATCATCACTTTCCCTCCTTCCCTCCCTTGGATCGCTTCTTTGCTTTTCTTCAGGATTTTCACGCATTCCTCGTCGTTCCAATCATGCAATATCCACTGCGAAAAACGAAACATTCATAGTGAACAAAGATGGGCGGCAAAATGATTCATTAATATAGATCGTTGGGGAGATGTATAAAAGATTCGTTATACACTTTCAAATAGTGATCACTTTCTTTTATTTCTCTACTTGAGAGATCTGTAAGACATTATCATACGCGCTTAAATTGATTATTTTTCTCCGTTTCTCTACTTGAAATATGTCTAAAACATTAGTAATACCAAAAAAAATTTAGTTTGTTGACAAATAAAACTCATGAAGCATACACATGCCATAATAAATAGTTCAAAATTTCAAAACAAGTGATTTTTTTTACCTAACCTTTCAATTGATCATCAACTTTAATTATTAGGAGGGGTTTAATCACTCCTATATAGTTATAGGATCTTCTCCCCAACTCTAACAAGATCTATCTTATTATTATTACTATTATAATTTCAAGAGTCAGACTGGTGTACTATTGAGTATACTATACTCCATATACTTTTAGTGAGATATCTCTATCTAAATTATAAATTAAACCAAATTTGAGGTATGATACTATATAATAACCTCTAATGAATAAATCCCAAACCCTGATTCTTTAAATTCAAACTCGAAGTTCAATTAAATAAAAAAATATTAATTGACCGTTGAAATTGGTCGGAGCTCTACAAAACACATATAACGAACAAATCACCTATACTATACCTTCAAAAGGACGCAATCGGCAGCGGGGATATCCACGAACATGTCCCCACCAACAAACGTCAAATTCCCTTCCCCTTGCAACCCATCCACCACGTGCGGCAAATCCAGCACCGTGCACTCCAGCTCCGGGAACGCTGCCGCGATCGCCTTGGCCACCGTCCCCGTCCCGCCGCCGACGTCCACAAGCGACCCCATCCCCTCGAACGCCCCTCGGAACTCGCTGACCAGCACCGTGGTGACGAGGCGTGCGTCGCTGGCCATGGCGTCGTTGAAGAACCCGTTGAGACCCGGCTGGCCGCCGGCGAAGTCCCAGAACGTGGCCCCGTGGGCGGTCTGGAACGGCGTCGGATCTTCGTTGCCGAACCACCTGCTGACGTGGTGCCAGGGCTTGAGGAGGATCGGGTCCAGCATGGCCATCAGGAACGGAGTCACGCTCAGCGGGTTGTCCGGCAGGAGGAGCTGCGACGCGTCGGTGAGGACGTAGCCTTCTTCTTCTTCTGCTTCTTCCTCTCCTTCTCCGTCGTTGACTTTGGCGACGGCAAAGAATCCGGAGTGGACGAGGAGGCGCATGAGGCGGGTGACGGAGCGGGTCTTGGCTGGGGTGACGGGGATGGCGGCGGCGAGGTGGGAGAGGGTCATGGGCTTGCCGTGGCGGTGGATGGCCTCCGGGATGCCGAGCTCGATGGCGCATTTCAAGGAGGTGGAGTTGATGAAGTTGAAGATGTGGTTCCATATGTGCGCCTGAGCTCGCAGCAGCTCCGCGTCGTGCTTCCCATCTCCCAAGTTTAGCATTTTCTTTTTTTCTTCTGCTTTACGGTGGCTATAATATTACTGCAGGAGTTGGGAGTTTAGGTTGAGGATAGAGGACTCTGAGTGATCGATCTATATATATATATATATATAAAAGATTCAGGCTAGCGTACACCGGGGCGTACGATTAGGCTATCGTACGCCCGTTTGAGTTTTGCTATTTAGATCATGAATTAATCGGAGTTTTGGGCATGATACTATACCCTAACCACTAATGGATAAACCCCAGTCCCTAGTTTTCTAACCCAAATCATGATATTCTTTTAATCTTAAAATGAAAATCAACAATAATTTCGACGAATCAGAACCGCTAATTTTCATTTCAAGATTAAATGAATATTATGCTTTGGGTTAGTGAATTGCAGACTGGGGTTCACCCATTAGGGGTTATGGTATAGTATCATGCCCCAAACTCCGGTTAATTCATTGTCTAAATAGCAAAACTCAACGGGCGTACGGTAGGCTAGGGTACGTCCGGGCGTACGCTAGCCTTTGCCATATATATAATTATATATGTATATGGTTCTAACTAACGCGTCAACGTGTAGTGTTGGCAATTTCTGATCTGATTCGTGCCACGTAGGGATGGCAATTTCGACCTGACCCGTTTTACCCGACCTGTTTTGGGGCAGGTCCGACCCGCCCCGTAGGCGGGGACGGGGCGGGCATGGGTAGTCTCATCGACCCGACCTGCCCTGACCCGCCCCATTTTCGACCCGTTCTTGTCTAAATTACATATAATCTTAGTCAAATTACTTAGAATTTTCCTTTTATTGCTTCATATTTTGGCTATAATAAAGTTGTAAATTAGTAAAAACCTCAATTTCTCCAATAATTTAACAACAATTGTCATAATATTGTTTATTTTCTTAGTCTTATAATAAAAATAACGAATATTTCTAATGCTTTCATATAAATTGCATACCCATTGGGTCGACCTGTCCCGACCCGCGACCCGTGATCAATTACCCGACCTGCCATGGGGCGGGTCTGGGTACCAAGAAACCCGCCCCGGACCTGCCCCATTGCCATTCCCACGTGCCTGATTTTGTGCTGATCTGATTGGGATATGCCCCACATTTAGTCAACAACGGATCCGGGATAGGATAAAGTACTTAGCCAAATTTTAAAAGAGTCGAAGAGGACTGGACCGTAACTCAATAAGCATTGAAATGAATATCTAAACTTGAAGATTTACAAAAACTAGCTATAATAGCTCTGGATCTAAAAGAGGACTGGGTCGTGGTCCGGGTGCGACCCCCTAAATCTTCCACTGCACTTAGTATGACAAAAATAATATTTAGATACCCACCCGTCACGCTCCCATTGTCATCGCTACCAACTGAGGCGGTAGGAATAGGAATGAGTGTGAGCATTAGCCGACGATATAAGTCTGGCCCTATCGATCACATCAATTAAATACAGCGGAGCGCGGCAGAGTTCAAAAAAGTTTAATTTAATCAGTGGTTCTCTGGCCGGACAACGAATTATGAACCACAGAAAACAGAACCATTGATTTTTAATCAGTGGTTCCAGCACAGAAAGAATAGGATACCATATCTGTGCGGCAGAGATTTGCGGGGAGCTATAACAGTAGGGCCATGCATGTTGCTGCTAGGTGACATGGTACGCCCATACTACTAAACTCCAACTAAACCGTGATTCATGCTCATGCAGTCTCAATCAAATCCTCCTATTAAACGAATCTCATGATTTGGGTTAGAAAACTAGGGACTGGGGTTTGTCCATTAGTGGTTAGGGTATAGTATCATGCCCAAAACTCCGGTTAATTCATGATCTAAATAGCAAAACTCAAACGGGCGTACGGTAGTCTAACATACGCTATCCAGAATTTGAATTGACTGATCTTTCGGACATCATACTATACTCTAACACTTAAAGATCAAAATCTAGGTCTTAATTCTCTAAATCTTATATCCCAAGATCAATTTAATTAGAAACAATAATCGACGGTTATGATTCGTACAAATATAGGCAAAAAAATCAATGCACCGTCTTAGGGTTTATAGTTTATGATTTAGATAATTAGGACCTAGAGTTCACTCATTAATGGTTAGGGTACAATATCATGCCCAAAAATCCTGCTAATTCGAGGTCTAGATAGCGTTTTCATACTCAAGGTATGCGGTACCACGGATTTCACCCGGGGTACCGTAGAAGGCACCATATATATATATATATTTCCTTTTTTAAGGACAAATTTCCACATTTAAATTATGTGTCACCATTCCGCCTATTTGCCAGTCTACCGTATCGTCGAAGTGACCAATACTTTTCATGAACTTCGGCATACGGAGCATGAAGAGACCCCTGAGGCATCCTCAAGCAAACGTCCTCGGCTTACATGAGAGTCGATTGATGCAGGGCGGGGTGGAGCAGTGCAGGGCGGGATGGAGCAGTGAAGGGGCCAGCATTGGATGTGTTTTGTTAAGGCTTCGTTGTTTTTTTTTTTTCCAGTCTTTTTCTCCAGCACTCAAAACTGTCAGGTACTGAGGGGAGCCAGTACATCATCTGACTAGGAAAGTCTCCCATTTTTTTAATTATCCAGACAAATATTTTTCTATGCATGCAGTATTTTGTGAATTTGCCATGGCTAATTTCCCTAAGACAGGTGACGAGATGCAGTAATGGTCATTCCTAAGCAAGGAGGTGCAATTGCATCCTACACTTGCTATGATGTGAGAAGCTATTGCAAGGGTGCAAATTTGGTTGCAATTGAAATTGGCCCACGAGTGGGGACTATTGATGAAATTGCAATGTTTTGTCAAAATTATAGAAGTGGAAGTAGGGACTACCTATGAAATTGCAAATGAATTTCATTGGGGGAGATTTTAATCCGCTTTTGTTCTAAGCAGTTCCAATTAGGTTGATTATAATGATTTTTTATCTATGGTGATTTTTTCCCCCTTTTTCATCAAGACTCATGCTTCTTTTATCCCCCTGTCGATCTATCATGCTTCGTTTATAGTAAAATATCCTTTTAATTATACACAATAAAGAATCCATTAATTATGTATGCCTTTTTATTGTATTTATTACTACAATGAATTCTCTGACTAAAAGGGGAGTGAAAACATCGTTGGTGGAAATTCAAGGAATGGAATGATAAGGGCTGTGCATAAATTCAATTTCTGTAAATAATTAATTTTATTATTATTAGTTAGTAACGTCATTAGTTTTAGTTAGTGGGTTAGTGGCTCCTACTTTGTAGCTTCAATCTGTTCAAGAGTTGGTACTTAAGCCACTCTCCTCATCAATGTAAATCACTACTTCCAATCAGTTTTACCTTTTGGGTTACCTATACATGAATGCAAATTTAATTATACGATTGGGAGCCAATCAGTTTAACTATACATGATCCCAATTAAACCTCTCTACAAGATACAATGGCTTGAAGCCTTGAACAGACGCAACCTCACTCACAAGTTGGAAGGTGGAATTTTGGTGAAGTCCCTTTGCCATTTCCACGAAAAAACAAACCAAACCAAACCAAATATAGAAAGCATTCACAATACCAAAAACCAAATATACAAAGCATTCACCAAACCAAAAACCAAACCAAAAACCAAATATTAAAACCATTCACCAAACCAAACCAAAAACCAAATATTAAAACCATTCACCAAACCAAACCAAAAACCAAATATAAAAAGCATTCACCAAACCAAAAACCAAATATAAAAGCCAAAAATAATAAGCATTCACCGAAACAAATTAAAAACGGTTGTCCATCATCCTGAGAAAAAAAAACATAACTGTTGTCCTTCATCAAAACCAAAAACTTAGAACTCAAAATCAGGTTGTTTTGGGCTCGTTGACCGGGTTTCCTTGTGCTCTTCTCTTTCCTTTTTCCTCTTTTCATGGGTTGTCTTGTACTCTTCCACTGCAGCTTCAACTTGAGGTGCAACTCTTCTTGCTTCCGTGAGCACCATATGCCTTATGTAGTTCATGGGCTCTCGAACAAGGTACAAAGCGATCTGCATCCTCCTCACTTGAGTGCATGGCTATCAACATCAACAAACATGGTGCTTACCGCATGATTCAAAAATAACAATCAATTGTGGTTTTCTAATATGGGAATTAGAATTGTCGTTACCCAAATATAAGAGGAGTCCCAGCTTGCGCCATACATCCACATGCATACCCAGACTCCACTGTCAGACCTACATAAAATAAAAGCATTGCGTGATAAGAACCAAGTTGATAAGTCGTCGTTTAATATCACAAAAAAATGGGCATACTTACCGATGAAGTTGTTGTTGCACAATTGAAGGAGTTGGGTACGAAAACTCCGCAATCCTTGGTGGCGACAATCCCGGACCTTGTTCACGATAGAGAATCTTCCACAAGGCTTGCATAAAGCACATCTGTACAAATTAAGAAACGTTTGTACTTAGAAAGAGTTATTTACATTTTGTTGCGTTATAACGGCACAATGTCACATATTTACCATTGTTTGAACAGATTGTAGTCGAAAGGAATTGCGGTCTTCATTTGGTTGTGGATCCAAGATATGGACTTCTTCCTTGTCCAACTTAATGACAGCCAAGTACCAATGGCCATTATCTCTCATCGGAACACACACCTACATATGCGGAAATTGTCAACACGTATTAAAAAAATAAACTGCAAACCATGTAATACTTATTAAGACGAACAGTTTACCTTGTTCACCATATTGGTTCGACTAAGGAATTTTGATTGGTATAGGTCTAATGCCATCTTGGGTGTTATTCCACATGAAATCACTAGTTCCTGCCCATGTGGTAGTTGCACAATTGAAATTTTGTCAACACAATATGATTCACGTTAAAAAAACATGTGTTGTAATTTTTTGGGGGAGAGGAAATTGTCATTAAGTATAATCGGAACACAACCTGTAGTTCAGCAGGCAGATAGCACACTCCTTTTCCGTCCTTGGAATTTGTCCACAACTCTTCTAGAGTCAAGTGGCAGGCCATCGCTGTTATAA